CCATGCAGAAGGAAAGTAAAAGACACCCTCGCAGGCCGGTTAACATACTGCAATTCTCGAAAGAGATACGAAAGAGATATCAGAGCCGGAGTCATTTAGTGCACTGTGAAGTGAGGTGGGTAAATTGCCATGCGTTTTCGGACCTTCTGGCCAGAAATTCCTGGAGTCTCCATCTGCCGGATTACCTCCTTCGAAGGGTCTCGAGAGGAATTCCAAAGCCTTCTCTCAAGTTGTACTTGGGAACAGATCGCGTACTGTACGAAAAACCCCCTGAACTATATCATCAGGGTTAGAATCGCTAAATTGGCGATTTGGCGTCATCTCGCGCCGATTTATAGAACCTATAATCATTTGAGATGATTTGGAGAACTCCATTTCAAAACAATATTGAGACCATGACGAAAGCAAATGTGAAAAAAATGAATTTGTACCTAATACAATAGCTTCTAAAGGACTTCCATAAATCCATGTGCAGCCTCAATGCGTTGAGGATTCGGTTGATTACGAACAGCTAGCATTTAATTGATTTATTCGTATTCTTCGTTAAATTCTCAAATTCAATCTCAAATCAATGTTGCCGCAATGTTGAAATGAAAAGCAGTTCAACGTTGAAAATAGGATCATGTATCACGTTGTGCCAATTATGTGACTCGTCAAGGTGTGGGCATTGCCTCCTTCCTTTTTCTGAGCCTATGCGCGTACTAATATCGATGAGAACTTGAAATTGCTCTAACGAGTGCAATAATACCACGGAAGGGTCCTTTCGAGTAACTTCCTTAACCGGATCAGAACTGGAGTTTAGTACTTGAATGGTGCAACTCATTTCTTCAGTACGGTCTCAACGCTTCAACTTTTTGTCAATGTTGGCACAACGTTATTGGGCTGAATGAGTAGAGCATCCGTGGCACCCTTACTTGCAATGGGTCTAGGTTTCTCATCGCATTCAGCCTGGCTTAGTAAGTTGCTATGGGATCTTTTCTTCCTTTCTTATTATCTGCTCCTTGAGGAAAAGTCAGGAAAAAATGTAAATTAAACGTTGTTCATGTCGATAGCCGATATGCTCATATTTCCGCGGGTGATGAGAACGACGAACACTTCTCTACGAAGTCAGAGCTTCGATGAGAAGTCAAGCGGAGAAAAATTGGTGCCGTACGGTAACAGTTACCTAGACCGTACAGAAATGGCGCCAGTGCACTCTCAATTCAGATTGACCACAGCATGATCAAATTTCAACAGTTTTGCGATATAAAAACGAATTCTAACAGAGGAAATTCAGGCCTTTCGAATGATATATCACAAAAGGAATTTGGGTTCAAAATTAATGCGAAAGGTCATCCGGGTCAAAGGTCAACATTAAAAAAAAAACTAAAATGAGTTGGACCCTCTGCAGGAAATTACAAATCGAATGAGATATCGACAGTGGAAATCGGTAGAGAAGCCCAGAAGAAGTTCACAGGACAAAATCCTGTCATGCAGACATGTGCCGCTCGTTACGTACGTAGATTGATGGATAAAGAGGGCACTTTCGTGTACTTGGAGAAATACAAGAACGTCTTCCGCCTTTCTTTTCCGGGGAAAACGAGCCGGAAAACGCGTGATGCGCCTCCATTGCTCATTTCCCTCCCGAGAGGCCCTGACGCGCTTCCTCCGATACGCCCCGCCCCGGCCCTACATCCGATGAGGCTCGCGAGCGGGAGCCCCAGTCTGAAGGCGTTTCTCGAGTGCGAACGGCCTTCTCGTCCTCGTTTTCTTCCCCGCAACCTGCAATCAGCGAAGCAGGCAAAAGTAATTGAAGATCCTCTATCCATAGCCTAGTTCCCTGGTTCCATCCATGACCTTGACCAGCCCTGAAAAAGGTCCGTTTGTCCGAGAAATGA